TTTGTCTCTATCCATTGGACATTTCATATGTATGGAATCATACAATATGTGGCCTTTTATGACCGACTTCTTTCACTGAGCATAATGTTTACGAAGTCATTAATTTTAAGTTTGTTTAGTTTTCGGTTAAAATATAGATCCTTACATGCTAGACTGGAAACCAACTTGTATTTTTTAGTTATTAATAACTAGTGATATTAATATTGTTTTTAAAAGATGAGCCTATTTAACTTTATGATGCTGGCATTAAAAAGAACAAAAATTGAGATTAATTGAAATTAGTTGCTTTTGTGGAATGTGACTTAGGAGGGCAGCAGGTAGGTGATCATTACTTTTACATTTAATACCATTCCTATCATTTGCATTTTAAAAACATGTATGTAAACCTTTAATTAATTTTTTTCTAAAATCAAAAAATTCTGGAAATAGTCCTATGACTGCCATTATCATAAAAGTATATTTAAAAATTTTAGTCAAACTATAGTTCCTTAAATCTATTGCTTTTCTTTTGTATGTTTTCTAAGGATATGCTGTATACTACCTTTAGCAAATAACTTCAAAATTATCAAAGTAAAATAATTCATATTATTTGTTAGGAATTTGCATAATAAACATTTAGTGATATATAACATAATCATATCTATACCTTTAAAAATATACTACTTGTATTTCGAGACTTAGTTTTACAATGTATATAGTTTTTTCTTAAAAACTTTAAGAAGCTTTAGTAATATTTTAAAACAACAGCTATTGAGTGGACAGGAATTTCCTATTTCTAAAAGAAGAATATAAAAACTCTTACATTTAAGCCATTTAAAAACAAATTTTACTTTTCATCATCAGGGAGGTGTTTATTCGACTGCAGCATGAAAATAAGATGCTTCGCTTACAGCAGGAAGGTACTGAGAACCAACGTATTGAAGAACTTCAAGAGCAGCTAGAACAGAAGCACCGCAAGATGAATGAACTGGAAACAGAGCAAAGGTGACTCACTCCTTTATAATTGGCATGGTGATTTAATTACCTAATGACAAAGTCTTGATTCACAGAAGTGGAAAATATCATTGTAGTTAAAATATTTAGGATTTTTAGAAAAAGATTTTTTTAATTTTTTTTTTTTTTTTTTTTTTTAGTCTCACTACCCATTACTTTTATCAGACTTTGTTAATCAGGTTGCTTATTCTTGAATTTTATTTGGATGTCTTCACAATTGACAGAAAATTTAACGAATGACAATCTGGCTTTTTACTGCAGTGTGGTGCATAGATGGGACAGGTTGTGGAGTGAAATTTGAATCCCATCTCTTCTTAAACTATTTGATTCTGGGCAAGTTACTTAAATAAACACTTGGTGTCTTCAGCTATAAATTGGAGGTGATACCTAATTGCAGGTTATGAATATTAACAGATAATGTGTTTAAAGTAAATGGTGTACTTATCTGATACCAATGAGGTGTTCAAAGATTGTAATATTAAAAAAAATGACATTTATGTAGTGCTTACTATATACCAGGTACTTTTATAACACATTTTTTATATTCAGCAAGTCTTCACAATAACTCTATGAAGTAATAACTATGACTGTCTCTTTTTTTATGGATAAGGAAGCTGAGGTAAAAGGAGATTAACTGACCTAAAGTTTCATCGGTTCTGGATCCTACATTTGAACCCTCTGTCAATATGACTCCTCAGTCTTTGCTGTTGACCACAATGCTAATCTGCCCCTTATAAATAGCATACTTATAGTAAGGGTATTTAGATTTATTTGACCAACCTTTCTTTATTGGATTGTAGAGACCACTAGGAATTTTAGAGACATTTGAGCCTTGTCTCTCATACTTGTATGTATATTATTTCATCAACTGCAGTTAAAAAACAATAATATTTTAGCTTTCTGAAGAGACCATTAAAGATTATATCCTATACAATTCAATATCATTCGACACTGGAGATACTAAGTTTCAGTTTTTAGAGAGTTAACATAGGAAGATAGACAGGTGAAAAATTTTATATATTTCTATATATAATTAGAGGGAGAGTCAGAGAGACAGAGAAACAAAGAGTCATACAGAGAGTCGGACAGATGCTATCTAGCTGGTAACTTCCAATGGAGACAACTCTTAAGCAGGGCTTTAAGGAATGAGATGATGCCAAGTTAAAAATCTGCACTAGTTACTAGCGCCAGTCTCTTCAATAACAAGTCATGAAGAAATAACTGGAAAATGTTGACCTTCCTCTTCTCCCAGTACATTGTGAAATCTGAAATAAGAAAAGGAAACTTCGTGTTTATTCATTAAAAATACAACTGTAGGAAAATTGAGCTTGTTTTCTCATTTTTATACCAATGCGTACAGTGCAGAAATGCTGTGCTTTTGCCACTGACACATAAAGTACTTCAAATTTTTAACTGTGGGTATATGTGCTTTCAGGATAAAAATGTCTTCTTTTCCTTGAAAACAGACTTCTATATACTATATATTATACCTAGCTACAGGTGATTGTTTGGCATTTGTTATTGCTATTAAAAGTATATTTTATGAGTTAAATTGCATAAATGCAGCTTATAGATCCTTAATTACTTTGACTTTCAATACAAATAAACACATATGATTCATATTAAAATAGGCTGAGCAAAGAGCGCATCCGAGAATTACAGCAGCAGATTGAAGACCTCCAGAAGTCTTTACAGGAACAAGGCTCAAAGTCTGAAGGAGAAAGTGTAAGTAACTTAAAAACTGTACTAATTCTGCTGTGTATGGACTCTCTATAATAGTTCCTGATGCCCAAATTAATCTTGTATTTGAACGTGCTACTCTTATTATTAATGATACCCTTAAATACCGTATATATCTGCATAACAGATGCAGTGATTTTGCCAATTTGGAGCCTATACATTGATCATATGTATTGGAAGGTGATTTCTATCCTACTTCAACAGCTATACCTAAGTTCATGGTAATTCCAGATTGATAACATGCTACAATTGAGTTCTTCACAATTCTGCTGGGATCACAAAAGGGCTGGCCTGAGGAAAAACCTAGTGAGAGTAAGCAGCAATCAGAATTGAGGAAAACTTCTAATAGGAAAAGGATGAGAAAATGATTTCTACCAAAAGAACATCCAAGAAGTATTTCATACCACCCTCCAAAAGGACAGAAACCTTAATGCAGTCTTGAGTACATTATCCCTTATGTCTTCCCTCTTTCCATAGTGACTCGTGACCTGCCACTTCTAATGGATTTTGATGGCAAATATTGTGAAGGCAGAAATATGAGGACTTAGAAGAGATCAGACAGCCTAAATATGCCTACCAATGTTTTTTATAGTTTGATCTTTGTATATAGAAGGGGAAAGAAGTAATAATCAATAGAGGGATATATTTAACTAAAACAACAATAAAAAGATAAGACTAGCTATGTGTTAGGCAGATATTGATTAGATAGAATGGTAGGCGATTCTACTTGTGTTATTGAAGGGGAGAAAACTAGGGGAGCGTAAGTATTAAAGAGATGAAGAGGAAGATTGAAAGGGTTACATTTCCTTTCTGTCTTTTTTATGCTTTATGTGATTTTCTCTTTTTTCCCTGGGGGCTTGGAAAATAGAAATCGTCTCATGCATGGCGGCATCTCATATGTGCATATATACGGTATTGTAACCTCTCTAATACAAATATATTTTTAAGGCACATTAGGGAATACTTTTAAATGAGATTTATTTGAGGGAGTACATTTTGGATTGCAGTGTTTTAAAGATTTAAAATTTTGTTATTTTTTTAAAGTTTTTGGTATCTAAATTATGTTTTAGATTGTATATTTTAAACCGCTATAGCTATTCAGTAGAGATACAGAACTACTATTGTGATTTAAATTCCTGTTTTTTGAAAGAGGAAATTTTATGTTTTACATTTTATTTTTTAACAAAATTCAGTTGCTTCATTTTGATGTCAATATTAAAGTGCTTGCATTTATAATGGTAATTTAGTTCTTTACGTCTGTTCACTAAATTATAAGATAATTTAGTTCTTTAAATCTATTCACTAAAAGCCTAAAATCTTAAAATTTTTATTTTAAATAAATGATTCTTTAGGCATTTAAGTGTTTGATACTCCTCCATATGTCACAGTTATCTTGCATTTGCTATTTTTTTCTTCAAGTTCAAATGTTATTTGCATTGCATTCAGAAATCTGAAGCATTTTTTCTTCTGCCGTTGTACTCTTCTAATTTCCTAGTCTCCTTTCATTTCCCCTTTGAAGTGAAAAAATACCTAAAATTTTATGTTCTACAAGTTTATTATTAGAAATACAAATTTTTAAGACATTTATAACTTTGAATAATACACCTTCAAAAAGAGGTAAAGAGATGTTAACATCTGGAAAATTTATCTTTACCACGATAGTTATCTTACAGCACCTTTTTTTAATTTTTATAGTCCAGCAAACTAAAGCAGAAGTTGGAAGCTCATATGTAAGTAAAACTGATATTTCATTTCAAATATGAGAGGGGAAGGGTTTTAAAAGCTTCTAAAGTTAATATCCTTTTTCTGATTTTGTTTATAAAAGCAAATACCCTGCTTTTTTGTTTGTTTTATAAAAGCAAATGCTAATTGAACATTCACCACTGCCACCAAAAAGTGAAAAGAAAAACATGTAAAAAGGTTCAACCTGCATGCCAATGATCCCAAACTTCAATATTTCTCTATTATTAATGTCATTTGAAGAGTTTATAAAGCAGGCAACTATCACAGCTAGATTATGTGGAAATGTAGGATATTTATCCTATAAAATATTTTCTTAAACTTTCTTAGAAAGCAGAGATAGTGAGGTGGAAAAATTTAACATTTTTGGCACCCATCATGTGCCAACTAGTTTACATCTTTACAACAACCTCTATAATATTTGGCAGGTGTTATTCCCATTTTCACAGGTGAGGAAACTGAGGATCAGAAAGTGACTTGCCCTTAGTCCACTAGTGTTATATAGTAGAAACCAGTTTTCGTTCTTAGATCTGTTTGGCTCCAAAGTTCCATGTTCTTTCCACTACTTAGGGAAAAACTAACAGAGGTCCATGAAGAATTACAGAAGAAACAAGAGCTCATTGAAGATCTTCAGCCAGATGTAAACCAAAATGGTAGGTATTTGTAAAAACCTGAATCTAAGGACTTTCCTGTTTTAGTTGATGGACACGATAACTGTGTATAAGTCTTCAAACAATGCATCAATACATATGTTGCAAATAAGTCCCGTGATAATTTTTAGTGATTTAAGAAATTAAATGATCTAATCTTAAAACAAAAAGGCAAAGTAAATCTAATAAATGAACTGATGTATATGTAGGAGTATCAAACATTATAAAATATAATAGAATTAATACTATGAAATTATAAATAAAAGAATTTAAAATGAACTTCGAACAGTATATAGAAAGAATGCTTTATATTCTCTTATGATGATTGTACTTACATTGTAAGATATATTTGCTCATTGAAATACTTGGTAGAAAGGAGAGAAATAACTAGATAAAGCAGATTATAAATATTTTTTAAGAAAAAAATAATACAAAATGATCAAGGATGTATTGTTGTAGTTCAAAAGTTTTAGGTAAGAATTTACTACAAAGAATAAATAAAAGATATCTATCTCTGTGTTCTCTTATCAGTCCTTAGAAAAAAATATGATAAATATTTTTTGTGTGAGGATGGAGAATTAAATAGGTAGTAATTGGTCATGTTTCATTTCATTTTCAACAATAGCACAAAAGATCAATGAACTTGAAGCTGCTCTTCAGAAGAAAGACGAAGATATGAAAGCAATGGAGGAACGATACAAAATGTACTTAGAGAAAGCAAGAAATGTGAGTGACTTATTTTACAGAATTCAAGTCTTTGTGAGTCAAGTTCTAAACAGGCCTGTTCCACCTGTTTGTACTGCTCTTGTATATAAATCATTGTCACCTTGCTCCCCACTACCCTTCCTTGCTGGTCAGGTTCCTGGTGTGTCTGTCTCCATGTCAATCCTTGTGTTCTCTCCTTCTCACTGATCAGCATCAGATAAAGCAAATACATGGCTTATAGAAACAGTTTAAACACGGACTGTAGAGACTTCCTTAGAGAAAATGACTACTCTAATATACGACATCTGTAGCTCTTAAAAGGAAGGCCCATTTGCTGTTTGTGAAAATTTAGCTTTTCAAACTTGTTTGAAACTGTTTTAGCATTGTCTACATTAGACAGTTCAACACTGTTGTAATGTTCACCACGCTAAATATTCTTTTTCTTTATTTTACACTTTTTATTAATTATCTGTAAGCACTGTTTTTATAAAATCTTTTATTTCCGTGAATACCATGCATTTTCCTAATTAACTGTAAGTGTTCTCACTCAGCAAATGCCAATGTACTCTATTTACTGAATAAAAAGAGAATTTTATGACAAAGCTTTAAAATACTGTAAATGTCTACTCTTTTATGTTTAAGTTTTATATAATATTCATTAAGGCATAAATAATCCTGCAGCAACAGATAAACCCCAAAATCTTAAGATTTAACAAGATAGAAGTTTACTTTTTGATCACACAAAATTTAGTCATCAGTGGGGAAGGTACTCTGCTCCATGCAGTCATTCACAGCCCTAAGCTGACGAAGGCTCTGCCTTCTTCCACATAGAATTTCCAAGTTCACTTGACATTGTCCAACTGGTAGATGAGGGAAGAGAGCACGGATTCTATAGGAGATATGTAACAAGTCAAGCTAGAAACAGTGCGAACAACTTTTATTTTCACTTTAGTGAGCAGAACTCAGGCAGTAGCCACATTCAGCTTCTAGGAAAGCAGGGCTTGGTAAACATCCAGTTTAGTGTCTGTCCATTACAAAAGTATAAATGCCTTTAGTAAGAAGTGTAAAGTATAGAAAGGTCCCCAGAGACAACTGTTATTAACTTCTTGGTACATTTTCTTAACAATGAATTTTTTAATGCATATTTTCTCCATGCTTTTTGACCATTGTATGCGTACACACACACACACACACACACACACACGTATGTATGTGTTGTATATATATCTTATGTGATTTGTATTTTTAAAACTTAAAATCATTTCCTCATGTGTTGTATAAATATAATTTAATATTTATTGAGTACATATTATACTAAGCAACTGGGAACACAGCACTAAACAAGATAGACATCACACTTATAGAACAGACTTTGCAAAAGTAAAAGAATGGCTGACTGCATAATATTCAGTTGTGTGGGATATATCATAGTTAACTTAGTCATCATCCTACTGTGGGAAATTATTTCCATTTCTTTTTTTGCTCATAGAAATAAGGCTATAGGCAACATATTTATTCAGGAAGCTTCTGATTTATTTTGGTTTATTATCTTAACCTTGTTCCTAGTTTAATGGGTCAATAAGAATTATTAGGTCAAAGGATAGGAACATTTTATTAAGATGTTTGATATATTTCTAAATGATTCTCTAAAAGGATTATAACTAATTGGGAAAAAAAAGTGACAATACCATATTCTTGCCATCATCAGTACTATCATTTAAAACACAGTTGCTTATTTGGTAAATATAATTTCTTTTTTTTTTTCCACAACATTTAGAGGAGAGGTTACAATAGTAAAGTAGGTCTATTACAGAAAATTTACAAAATATAGAAAAGTCGCAACCATACTTTTTATTACTTACAAGTAACAAATTACGATTTTTTTGTAATTAAATTATGATTTAATTATTTAATATGTCTATTTGTATGATATGAGCTCCATGAGGGCAGGCACCATGTCTATTGTAAACTGCTCTGTCCCCATCTGTTGCAGTGCCTACCGAATTCGGCACTCAGTAAATCATTTTGAATGAACCACAGTGATTGTTAGACATATTGCTTTCTAGTATTTCTTTAACTCTGTAAAATAATGACATTTTCCTACCTCATTAAATAATTTTAAATATTTTTAATAGATTTGTAATTACATCATACAGATGGCCTTATTATTGGAAACGTCTCATTTTGCTTGTAATTTATTCCTGACATTTCTGAAATGATTTCCTGCCATACTGCTGACTACATAGTTTAGCTAAATCTCTGAACAACATTCTGATCAAACATCTTGTTTTACAAAACTTTTAGTAATTTTCATAAATGTGATTGAGCACCAACCTAGTGTTTGTAGACAAAATCATTAATATCTATTATACTGATCTTATTTTAGATCACATTTAACTAGATAGTGGTAGTAAAAAAGATTGCTGCTAATGTACAAATATTACTCTTGTACAATCAGCAAGTTCCATTATAATTATTGAATTTTAATATTTTTAAAAATACTTAAGTTCGATAAATGTGGAAAGGGTTCCTCAGTGCTCAAAGTTTGATAAGACTAAATAACTATCTCCGTTTACTGAGTTTCGGAGAAGGGAAATTTGATTCTGGGATGGGGATTGTCCCATTTTTGTACTAAATTTTTGTATCATTTCTCAGCTATAGAATAAGTAATTTTGTTATTCAAATTAGATTGTAAGACAAACTATAGTTAGCTCTTGGGCCACTTCTGGATGATTTTATACTTACCTCGATTTTATAGACTATGTTCTTGTATTTCAATATTTGCTAAGATAAAGTGAACGTAATTTTTTTTTCTTTAAACAGGTAATAAAAACTTTAGATCCCAAGTTAAATCCAGCATCAGCTGAAATAATGCTACTTAGAAAGCAGTTGGCAGAAAAAGAGAGAAGAATTGAGATTCTGGAGGTAAAACATTCATATTCATTCATTCTCTTAATTATTATGGGTAATCCCGACAATTAACTGCTCTCATACATTTGCCATTAATGATCAAGTTTCACAAGATGTTAGAAACATAATGTCTTCGCACTGAATATGTTTATGGTGGAGCATCTCACTAGCCCACGAGATTGGTCTCTCTGTAGTTTATGTACCCTGCTGCATTGTTTCTCCCTCTATAACAGCCAGTCATGTGGATATCCCTTAGTTTTTGATAGAGTCCTGTTGTAATGCTCCTTTTAAAATTTGTGGATGTGAAACCAAGCTCACCTTTTAAAAAGGGTACTGTACTTAGTTAACCAGATATATCTTATCTCTCCTCCCTGTTCCTCGCCTGAACCCAAACAAACTTTCCAGTTGGAATTTATGAGAGAAGGAAGTACTTCAAAATCCCAGTAAACCTTTGAACTAAAGTGGCAGTCTTTTATTAATCTTGCAAAGTTATGTTGGTAAACGGCATGTTCTCATTAATTAGTGGAGTCTTTAAATTTTAAAGTTATTTTTGTGTCAGTGATTATATCATTTTTACAAGCTGGGTTAAGTATGTCAGTATGGAATTATTCTTAGATTTTACAATTGGGCATGCTCTAATTTCCTTTGCAAAGTGTTTTTCAAAACTACTGTTTTTATATTGTTGTGAGAGGTGATGCTGTTACTGAAGTCAGTATATACTTTCTCACAATAATGTGTGTAGCTGCAGAGCCATGTTGAATTCTATATATTCATGTCAGTTGTTGTAAAAAGCACTGGTTAGGGGTGTCTTTCTGAACAAATAATATTTATTCTTCAGGATCCAACTCAAATTTCTCTTCCTCTAAGAAGCTTTTTTTGTATTCCTTAGTCAGTTCTCTCCATAGCGATTTTATGTACTTTGAACTCATGAATTCATTTCACAGTAGCATTTTTCTTTTTGATTGTGTCAGAGTGAATTGAGGGCAGAGGCTATATCTTATATCTCTGTACTTTACTAAATATTACATAAATCAGAGGCCAGGGTTATAGCTTTATTGGTAACTTGCTTAAATTGTCACCTTTCCTCTCTGGTCCTCAGTTTTCTCATCTGTAAAATAATGAAACTTGAGCTGAATCTCAGAAATCTAAGTCGCTCTGACTACTCACTTCCCAGTGAAAGCCAATGAGAATGTACACCATCGCTGATGTTTGAAATACAACTTCCTAACAAGTATGATGATAAAATGGTGCCTTTAACTCTAGAGCTCTGAGAAAAGCCTTCAGTTAAGTCACAGCCTGTGGGCCATTAATTTATGTGCATTCATCTGTACACACTGCAAAAAGTAAAAAGGAGAAGAGTAATGTAAATAACAGAGGTTACTCTGTCTGCCATCTTTCCTGGAGAGTCTTTGCCTGGAGTGGGTTTGAGCCAGAAGAAAGGTGTCTTCCTCCCTCATTTCTTGTATGCTTTTTGTATCATCATGATCTTGCTGTAGGAACATTCAAGCGTTTCAAGATTATAATGTTTTATGATCCAACTTATACCTGGTACTCAAAAAAAATTATAAAATTAGCTGAGTTAGGATAATTAAGAAATGGATGTTAGTCTCTAGTTGGCATGTAACTATGGTCACAGGCAATCTAGTATACAAGTTACCAAGAATTGAGAGAGAAAAATTCATGCTAAGCTTTATAGGAGATTTTAAAAGATTTTCTGGGATATTTTTTTACTATATCCTTTTTCTCCTTAATTTTGACTCCTCCACAGGTGCAGCTGTGCTTTGTTACCTAAGCCAGTTGTTACTTTTTTTTGTAGATATAGGGGACAGTAGCATAAGAATCACTAGTTTCTTGGGGTTTTTTGTTGTTATTGTTTTCTTAAATATCTGTTCTGCCAGTAAAAATCCAGAAATAAATATTTACTAGTCACAATTTTATTCTTTCCTAAGGTGTTGTACATGCATTTCTCCATGATTCAGTTTACACTTTGACAATTTTATTTACCTCAGAATGCATTCCTCAAATCTCTCAATAATGAGCATTTGAAGAAATGATTCCATTTTTAGTAATTTGGAGTTATTTCTGGGATTTTAATAGTCTTCATATCTTTTTCCAGAGTGAATGTAAAGTAGCAAAATTCCGTGATTATGAAGAAAAACTCATTGTTTCTGCCTGGTATAATAAGGTGAGTTGAAATTCAGCTAATGATTAGATGTTTAGAACAGCGTTAATCAAACATTTTGACCAGGAACCATTGAAAGAAATATATCTTATACCACGAATCAGTACATATACATGTTTATGAGTATAACTGAAAAAAAGTTACCCTGGCTGTATGCATCGCATTGAGGTATTTTCTGCCTTATTCTCTTCTGTTTTGTGTGTGTGTGTGTGTGTGTGTGTTTTTTTTAATGGTGGTCATAATCCAAATTGACTATATATTTTAATTTGTTTTGAATTGGTTTTGACTTTTCCAAAATCAGTAAACTGATTTTATGACTTATGGACCTTTAATGGTTCACATGAAGCACACACACACAACAATCCATAAATATTCTAAAACATTTAATTTGGGTTTCATAGTTTCTTTAGAAATGTGAATATCTGTGTAATGTAAGATTAAGTGCTTCTTGTACTCAGCATTTATTTTCACATCCCCTAAAGTCTCTCAGTGTGTCCTTCAATGTATTTATTTTTTTTAATCTAGGGAATACTCTTTAATAATTGTCTGTCTTAACAAGGAGAAAATAGTATAAAATAATTTGAAATGTGTTTTATTTCTTTATTCTTAATATGGGTAGGATGTTTTCAAGAGTAGCATTTCATGATGTATATGGTTCTTTTGGGTTATTCTAATCAGCTAGAATAGATAATAAATGCAGCCACTACCTCAGGTGCTGCTTATTTAGTATGTGAGAATATCGATTTCTGGACTCCCCACAGGTGAATCCTTTGCTTCACTGCATAGAACTGGTTGTCCCTCCACAAACATGCTTTGTTTTTTCATGCTGTCATACTTTTTGTGCTCTTTTCTTTCCCTCCAGTCTATATTTGGTAATATCTTACTTAATTTAGCAAGGTCTTGAAGGAAATAATATGTGAAGCATTCCCAGAATCTTCCCTCATGGGTTAGTTATCTCAGTTAATATCGAAGACTGAGTATTGTTTATTTGTTCTCCTGTGGCCTCTTGATACATAAATCATTAAAGATACTAAGCCAAATAATGCCTTATTTGTTCATTTTTTCACCTATAATTTTTGAGCATCTACTCAGTTTTATGTATTCTACTAATTACTGGTAATGCTAATTTCAGTAAAATTGTATTATGTGGTCTAGTGAGAGAGAAGTAATGTTTCTCCTTAATAAGAAACCTGGCAGCCACAACTACAATAATTTTGACATGTATCACTATATAGATAGTAAATTTGAACTGTACCGGTGGTTTTCAAACTTAGCATGCATCAGAAGACTTGTTAAAACACAAATTGTTGGACTCATCTGCAGAGCTTCTTACCCAGTAGGTCTGGGTAGAATCTATAGGTAGAATTTATATTTTTAACAAATTCTCAGTGGTGCTAATGTTAATCCAGCAGACCATTTTTCTAAACTTTTCTATTGTGTTATTTCTGCTTATAGTGGGTGGAATGATGATCCAAACACAAAAATTTGTTTTGGAACCTTTTTTTTGTTGTTGTAATTAAGCATAATTCTAGAACATTTTAAACTACTGTTTTTAACAATTTAATATTTAGTGGATTAAAACAGAGATACCGGGTTTTATGCCTTTGTTTTCTCCTTACTAGCATTACCATATGCAGATTAATTAACTTCTGAACCCGTATTTTCTTCTATAAATATGAAAACACCAGGTTTTTAGGATTGTTTTGAGTATTAAATGACTTTATGTATGTGATAAGCACTTTAAAACTCTAAATAGTCATTTTATGTGTTTGTTTTTTTTTGTTCAGAGTCTAGCATTCCAGAAACTGGGGATGGAATCTAGACTAGTGAGCAGCAGTGGTGCTTGCAAAGACACTGGTGCGTGTACTCCTGCACGATCTTTCTTAGCACAGCAACGGCACATCACCAACACCAGAAGAAATCTCTCTGTTAAAGTTTCTGCTACAACGTCTGATTAAACTACAAAAGAAAACATGAACAGAAGTGCCCTTAAAATATTTTGTATCTTTCAACCAACTACCAGATTGAAAAAGAAGTTTATGATGCTGAAATAGCTGTTCAAAATGCATGGAATTAATTTTCTGGCTGACTTTGAAAACAATATAGAATTAGCTATCTCTCTGAGGGAGCACATTTAAATAATTGGAAGATGTAATTAGGCACACATCTCAAACATTTATGTTTTGAGAGTATTATAATTTCAAATTCACTTTGTATATTTTAATTTAATGTTTTCAGTTGTACCACAAACTTGGTTAATTTGCAATGTATAATCAGTAATATGTACCTTAAAAATACATCTATATTTGTTTTGTGGTTTTGGTCCATATAAAAATCGTCTTAAGGTAGGCACATGTAGATCTATACAAGATTTATATTTTTTGACTTGATATATGCAGTTTTACTTCTACATTCTAATTCTGTGATTGAATGGATATATTTTGTCATCTAATAGAAGAAGATGTAACATTTGGAAGATTTGACTATTGTAATGACTCTGTCATAGTAAAGTGACTAATTGGAAATCTTATAGATTCGGAAGAGGTTATACCTCTCCTATGTACCTACTATAGACAAGGGCTTCCGTGCAGCCTGTTTGAAATGTTAAAGGTGCAGAAATAACTGACTTATAAGTGGTGACTTTCTGATGGAAAATAAACTAAAAAATATATTTTGCGTGAAATGTTCACATACACTTTAATATAACTGATGAAGAATACAAATATTTTGCTTTTAAGCATAAAAATATCAGAGTTTCTGCTAAAAAAAAAAAAAGATGGTATAATGGTTTTGCCTCTTCACTGAAAAAAGAGCACAGTGTTGAAGTAACTTGGAATCAATTCGATTTTGATTATTAATTGAGGACTCTTGGGCTGAGTTTATGGTATTCAGTTTGTTTCTGCCCAAAGCTCTTTATTTTCAGAGGTGTTACTTTCTAATTTTTTGGTCATTTTTAAGAGTCACACTTTGGAATTTTAATTTAGTTGAGTATGATATGTGCTGTCCAGTATTGTAGCCACAAGCCACATGTGGCAATTTTAATTAATTGAAATAAAAAATCCAGTTCCTTGGTTGCACCAGCCACAGATCAAATGCCCAATAGCCACATTAGCTAATAGCTACAATATTGGACAATGCAGATATAAAATATTTCCATCATTACAGAGAGTTCTGTTGGATAGTGCCATACTAAATCTTTTTATAACAGGGAAATCTTTAATGTGAGATCACAAAAGTTAAAAGAAGAAAATTGTTAAGTCTATTTCAGTATGAAAAGGAATTGAATTGTGACTTACATCTGGCATTCCTTATAGTTGAGTACCTTACGTTGTGACATTAATAATTAATCTTTCTAGTACTATTCAACAACTGCATACCTATCAGCATATGTCTAGACTAGGCAGGGGTCAGCAAACTTTCTTTATAAAGGGACAGATAGTAATTATTTTGGGCATTGTTGGCCATATGATCAGGAGCAAATACTCAACTCTGCCACTAAGTATGAAAGCAGCAGTCATATACAGTATATGTAAACCACATAGGTGTGGCTGTATTTCAATAAAACTTTATTTACAATAACTGGTGGTAGGCCAGATTTGGCCTGAAGTATGTAGACCATGGGTCTAGAGTTTATTCTTAGTCTTTTCTTGAAAATATGAATATTGTTCCATTAGCAGTATTACATATTTAGGTACTTGGTTTTTAGATTCTCTACCAGTACATTTTTTTAATCACTGAAAATATAAGAATTTCATACTGCATTCAGATCTCTGACAGGAGAATGTGTCAGGATATTTTGTTTTATCAGGGTTAACTTCTATTTACTACCTCTTAGATTTTGTTGTCTTTTTTCAGTGCAAATATATCGTTGGTTTGCATTTTCATATATTCTTGTAGTCTCTGCTTGCCTGTGACTTTCTGTGAAATGAAACAAGCCTTTGACAATATTTTAGCATGCTTATTAAATTTTTCTAAATATGGCATTTTGGTATATTTTGGTCATATAAGACATCTGCTCCTTTGGTATTTACTACTTATAAGTGAGATTTTATAAGCTCTTCAAGCTCCCTTTTAATAGAATTTATTGTAAAACATCAATTTCAATAAATTAGTATTTTCACAGTTCAATTGCTCATAAATTTTCCATTATTATACTTGGAATTTCTAAGTAATTCATGCAATTTCTGAATAATGACATAAAGCTTGATTCTTTTTTCTTAATAGAGAAAAAACAAATTTTGTGATTTACCACTTTTCTAGTTTATAAGTAGAATTTAAATTGCTTGATACTTAAGTGTTTATACAAGACTAATGTAATTTAAAGTTCTGGATTATTGTGAGCAATCATAAGGAAATTCAGGAACTGATCAGACGTGGGATCCTTTCCCACATCTGGTTAATATAGTGAGATTGACACCCTGTGGGTGGTAAAGCATTATAAATATTCATTATAAACCATGAATTATACATGTCTGTGTTGTGAAGCTTAAGTGCATATACCAGGAAAGAGAAATTTAGCATTCATCTATGTGATAAGGAGTTGAATGTCCCAGTGATAATAAAGTAAAACCACAGACCAATTTGGAAATGATCTTTAATTTTGAGCATTTGCTCAAAGGAATATGAATTTCCCTTTCTCTTTTTAAAATAAAAAGTGTGTATACATATGACAGTGATGTTTATTCTAAGATTAACTTAATGTATTGAGAAATATTTTAAGTTCACTCTATTTTTCCAATGAATAAGGCTGTTGAACTAATGATATAGTATAGATTAAAATCAATGCCTTGCCTAGAAACATTAAACTGGGTAGCCCTCATTAAAGTGTCATCTTGGATAACTGGAGTGCTAATTTACATCTTAGCACGATACAGCTACACCTGTTGCTGTATAATGGCACATCTGGCTCTGTGGCGTGGTTTTTAGGGCATAGTACTACTGTATTAGGTTCTCTATTTGTATTTTTAATGATAATCATTCCTATGTAAATATGTGTTATATGGTTATATGCATACATTCTTATTGTGAACCTGTACCTTGCGGAGTAGTTTGGAAATTTTTAAAGCACTAAATTACAATCATAAAAGAAAATAGTGTGCAGTTATTAAACTTGATGTAGCTTAAATATAATGTTTATAAAAGGCTCTTTCTATTTTCTATGGTGAAGACTTTGACACTTGAAAAATAGAAGCAATACTTTATTTATTTTTGTAAGTATTTAGGATATTATTTTAAATAAATGATTGTCCAATAACAGTATAGTAGTTGTAAAGTGTTTTAAGAAATAAACTTTCTGATTCTGTGCTCATGATTCTTGTTGGATTTTTAGTAGGTACAACTCCACGTTTATTTGCTTTAAATAAAGGACTTGAAATATTTAGATTGGTAGAAAAAAATAATTTAATTCTAATTTTATGTTTGAATTTTTTTTGTTGTTGTTGTTGGTGAATGAGAAGATGTATAAAAGTGATTTTTCGGTTTGCCCAGTTATATCTCCAATTTCACCACTGGATATTCAGCACTAGATATTTTGCATTTTTGTGGAATTCAGAACATTTCTTTTTTTTTTTTTGTCAGAGAATGCTACTTATCTCTCAATATTCATTCTCTCTTTATTTAGTAATAGAACCCCCATATTTTAGCTTATTATATTTACCTTCCTTCCAGGGAGGAAAAAATAAGAACTTCCCAGATGTCCTTGTAACGAGGCGGGGTCATTTAACAAAGTTCTGGCCAACGACTGTGAACAGTAGTGATGTATGCCTATTAAAAGAATGGGTTTGCCTTCCCTAGCCTTTACCCTTCCTCTATAGAATGTCATGTGCCTGAGGGTAACTGTCAGGAACAGTGGACCAAGAAGGAAAAAGGAACCTCGAAATCACCATTTAGTCATATCAGCTATGGAGCACCCCCTACCACCAGCCCCGTCCAGATTCTTATTTAAGCAATTTTTATAGCTTCTTTATTTGGGGATTTCTTTCTTCTAGCATCCTATCTTCTTTCCCAATCTATACAGGCTTATCAGAATAAGTTATGAAATTTTTAGATAAGTGTAGGTACCCCATGTTCTTGGGTTTGGAAAGGTTTAATTCTGCTTTTAATGTATACTCAACAAGTATTTGTTTAATCCCATGAATGAAGTAGACATGCCAGATATGAAAAGATGGAGACAGAAGTCTTGTCTCACTTTAGATAAATCACCATGATCCCTAAAGACTATGATTCTATAAATTTAAGTTTCTGAATGGTACGGTAAATGCTGGCCCAACGTCATCACAAAATTTTGTAACTAGTTCATTTAAGAGTGTACCAAGGTTCTAAGACCTGCACTGACCGATATGGTGGCTGCTAGCCACATTAGATATCTAATCGTAAATTTTAATTAAATTTTATTTCCTCATTACAGCCACACATGGCTAGTGTCTACAATATAGGACAGTACAGATACAGAACATACCTGTCACAGGAAATTCTACTGGACAGCTCTGTACTAGATGTTGAGGTTGAATGTATACATTCTGTATTTCTCTGAAGTTCCACAAGACCTGAGATCACAGAAACGTGAGGTGAAGTTTTCAAACATCACCTTGCACACAGTGACTGGCTCAAGAACACAGGTGCGTTGGATTCTTAAGTTGGCTGTGGCCTTGATGGTAAAGTTCTCCATTCTCGCTCACCTGCACTGTAGCAACTTGCTATCGGTAACTGTTAAACCTGCGATTTTACCTCTTACCTTTTGCTTCAACTCAAACATTCCCCTTGTCTGAATGCTTCCATGATTTCTCAAACAAGGTGAGAAATCAATGTTTCAAAAACTCAAAGTTTTTGTCTTAGTGACATTAATGTCACCCACTTTTTTTTCTTAATATGTCTGTCATTCTAGACTATTTCTTGAGGTGAAGAGCCATATCTGGTTCCTCTTTTTCCCACAGCACTTGGCACACTATCTTCCACAAAGTCA